AGTCCTGCTAGAAACCCTTGGAAAAAGCCTGTAGAACGTGCCTGGGAATTGTCCCGCTAAAAACTGGATGCTGACACATCTATACACTATTTCCTGTCTCCCTTTGGTGAAGGATACTTCCAAAAGTCTTAACATCCCCTGAGTTTCCAAGCTGCCTTTCCAGGGCTGAACAGGTTCCCCAGTTTCAGAAAAACCCCAGAGCAGAAAATTGAAGATAATGGGGAGGGTTGGGTTTGAGGCGAAATACTAACAGCTTCTGAGAGTCCACAGGAGCTATCCATCCCAGTTTCGGCTGGGAAGAGAAGTGGGCCTAGGCCACGTGGAAGAAAGTGAAATTGAACCAGGTGACGAAAGTCACTAGGTGGTCAAAGTAATTGAGTAAATAATTTGGGCTAATAGAAGGAGTTCTTTGATCAAATGGAAATTATATCCTCTGGTCTGTTGACTCATCATCAGTAAATGGAAGGAGATGACTCACCTTGTATTGCTGCTGCTGGAATTAAAAGTCCTTAATATGTAATGTGTTTAGGACAGAGCCTGGTGTATAATAACATACAGAACACAAGTTATTATATTATTACTAGTTCTATTGAAATATTAGCAATGCTAATATCTACCTGCACTGTGGATAATATGAATTAATTCAAACTCTGTTAAGAGGATTTCACTACTTAGCTTGAATGCAATATTTTGTAGGCCAAAGCATTGCAATTTTGTTTGGAAGGACATGAAATTTTTATACAGGTTTGCAATTAGTTTCATCATAAAATGGGTAATGGGAGAACCTTTAATGTAATCTGATTCCTGTGTATTCTCTTTCCTTTGGTTAGGATTGCATTTAAGTTTTCATCAGATTACAGTGATTTATTTTATTTTCAAAGGCATCTCCAGAGATAGTCTGTTAGCTCTGTTTTTGAATATTTTCTGCTTTTGAACTTATGCAAACACCAAAAACATTCTGCATGGAATGTGCTCTCTAACAACTGCTGATGCCAAATAAGTTCTTTAATTCTAGCTTAAATCCTTAATACTGCAGTTTTGGTTTTACTCATTCTTCTCAGTGGAGAAAACAGGAATAGCTGGTTACTACTGTCAACTTTCTATTGTTTGGGATTTATTAACTATGTAACACTTGAATGTATGTACATATTTCCCTCTGGATATAGAGCTCCCACTGCTCTTTTTTTCAAAGGGTGATGACATCGAAAATGAAGATGTTCTAGTACCCATATATAATATAGTACCCACTTAAAATATAGTCGGTCAAAACATCATCAGTTGTCACCTAGCATTTATTTTGTACTTCTTGTGGTAAATTGCCTGATGTGTTCGTTACCAGTGGTAATATTATTCTTTTTTCTTGTGAATATATTACAATATAATATGTAGTAGCTTTGCATATTAATTATGCTATTAAGCTAACACATGATATTTCCCCCAACTTGTCACTTGCCTTTTATAGTATTCTTGCCTCATAAGTTTATAATTATTTTGTTAAATATACTTTTTTCTCTTTTTCATTTTTTATTTTTGTTCCATGCTTAGAGATGACTTTCCCATCATAAGCTCTGAACTTACCTATATTTTCTCCTGATTCTTTAATATTTTTGTTTTTTAAACTGGCTTTCTAATCTATCCAAAACCAATTAAATCAAGATTGCACATTTATTACTAATGAGTTTCAAGTTGTTTATTATAGTGTGTTGTTTCAATCTGTTGTAGCATTTTATGTCATGAATTTGTTTCATATATATTCTTGATATAATGGTTCTTTTTTTTTTGAGTTGAAGTCTCACTCTGTTGCCCAGACTGGAGTGCAGCGGCCGCTCCTGGCCACCGCAGCCTCGACCTGCTGGGCTCCGGCGATCCTTCCGCCTCAGCCTTCCAAGTAGCTGGAACTAGAGGCGCACGCTACCACACCCAGCTAATTTTTTTGATTTATTGTAGAGATGAGGTCTCGCCAAATTGCCCAGGCGGGTCTCGAACCCGCGGACTCAGGCAATTCACTCACCTCGGCCTCCCAAGGCGCAGGATTACAGGCTGAGCCACCAAGCCCAGCCGATATAATGGTTCTTAACCAGAGATTATTCTGCCCCCTAGAGACATTTGGCTATGTCTATAGACAATTTTATTTCCCAGGACTGGGGGGAGAGGCTGGCTACTGGCCTTGAGTGAGCAGGGACCAGGGTCGGTGCTAAATATCCTACAATTACAGGAGGACCCCGTAACAAAGAGTTGTCATTAATGCCCAGGTTAGGAAACCTTGATGTATTAAGGATGGCTGGATGGATAGATTAGTCGATTGATTAATAGACCAGTAGATAGATAACATTCCTCTGCCAGTTTCATACTTACCAGTAACATCACTGAGCAGATATATCACTCAGCCTATATTTCTATTCCCAATGCTGACGGGCATTTTAAGAGATTGACTCCTGCCTTGTAGAAATCTAAATACACTGTATTTCCAGTTATCCCTGGTCTATTTAAAAAAACAAATGAGCGTACTAGCTTTAGAGCACAAACTCAACACCACACTGCCTGGGTTGGATCTAGATTCTGCCTCCTTACAAATTGTGTGGCCTTAGGCAAGTTACTTAACTTTTGTGTCTTAAGTTTTCTCATCTGCAAAATGAAGGTACTAATCATAACATTATTCTAAGTTGTCATAGAATTTCAAGATGCCTAAACCAGTGTCTAGTACATAGTAGATATTAGAGAAGTGTTTGATAAAAATGATAATAACAAAGTAAATAACTTTTTAGGAACCATATTTGATCCAGTGACCTCTATTTTCTTCATATATTAAAAAGTCTACTTTAAAAAATTCATTGAAGATTTTTGCTTGGAGTTAATTTGAAGCAGTATGTTTCTGCTTTAATCTCCTGCCTCATCTCTTATTCTCTTGCTATGCAGCATAAGCTCTGCCAGAATATCAGTTCTGTTCTCTGTATCATTTTTGTTTAAATTTTAGTAAACTGTCAAGCTTGCAGATTTTCTTGTAGGCACATATCTTTTTATATAGAGTTGCTTATTTTTTCCATCTATGGCAGCTATTATTTTTGAATAAAGGCTATATTCATTTTTAGTTACATTCTGAAAGTTAATGGTGGTATCCATGGAATTATATTTTTCATGTGTCAAAAATTTATATGCGTTCTATTAACTTGTGCTGAATTCATTTCATGTCAATGTCTAAACACTGTATTGTTTCTGGTCCCTTTATTAGAAAGATATTTTCTTCTGTGTATTTCTGAGGCTCTTAATCCTTATTTGCTTTCTGTCATATTTGACAGCCTCTACATCAGCAATGTCTGATGGAATTCACTGTGATGATGGAAACATTCTAATCTGCACCATCCAGTTGTGCCGGGACAACTGAGGAATTAATTTTAAATGATAGTTAATTTTAATTGGTTGAAATTTAAATAACCACATGTGGGTAGTGGCTACTGTATTGGACAGCATGGCTCTAGAGCAAGTCCTTACCCCTCATTTCCGGTTTAACACCCTCAACTTTGTTGTAACCTGAGCCTATTTCACCGACTGGGTTTGTATGTAGTTTTGTTTGTGTTGTATATTATAAAACTCTTCTATCCCAGTGAAGTTATTTTTAATTCATTTTCTATGTTTTTTTTTGTAGTAATGATACATATCCTTAGATGATTGGGAGTGTGCACATGTACTTCTGTCTGTAGAGTATTTAATGTATAATCTATCAACATCAAGTGCTTGCTTTTCTTTAATTTTTTGCAAATAAAAATAATAATGACAATGGTAGAAAAAAATAAAGAAGAACAGAAAGTATAAAGAAGAGAATAAAAATCACCCTAGTGACACAAAGCAAAGACTACTTTGCTTTGCACACATACACAAACATCCACACACACACACGAGAGAGAGAGAGAGATTCGGTTGCACACATACACAAACATCCACACACACACACGAGAGAGAGAGAGAGATTCGGTTGAGTTCTTTTGATAAACAATTTTTAAAATTTTTAAACAGTTTACTGATTATACAGATAGTACATGTTTACTCTTAGAAAATATTTAAAAATCACTGAAGAGTAAAGTGGAAAAAAATCATCCGTAGTCCAAGAATGCATAGATTAACCACTTATTATTTTGGCTTGTTTTCTCCCAGGATTATTTCTAAGACACACACTGAGTGTGCAGATAGGTAGGCAGATTACTATGTAGACAGGCATCTTTAAAAATGGAATTATGCTATGTATATGCAGGGTGTGCCAATAGAAGAATACATCTTTCACATGGTCATCAAACAAAAATATGTCACTAGAGGATTTGTCCTCCACAATGGTGTCAGTGGCCATTGTGAACATTTGTAGCTATAAAATAATAATATATATATATTAACATGTATCCACTGAATTTGTCAACTCATTGATTGTATCTTACTTTTTATATCATGAGAAATTTTCCTCTAGAATAAAATAAAATTAATAAACCTACTTTTAATGGCTGCGTGATAGACCAAGCATTTGTCTAAATACCATTAACTACTGTTATTAGCTAGTACTATTATTAGGTATTTAGGATGTTTTCTTTTTTGCTACTGTAAGTATAATTGCACTCTACATATTAATACTTTTTAATACTGATAATTTCATTAAGATGGATTCTTAAGAAGCAAGATCATCGACCCAAATGAAATGAACACATTGACAATTCTTGGTATATATATTATATATTGCCAAATTGCCCCTCCAGAAAGTTCTTTGCTGCTTAGAGAAGAAAATAAAAAATTATTGTTCCATTTCTATGGTTTACATATTTGTATGTATCTTTTCTTTGTCCCTTTAGACTTCTCTTTGGTTTTAGGGCTCAAAATTATATTTTAACAAATGTTTCATTCAAGGGATTGGCAAAGTAATCACATTGCTATAAATACCCAAACAATGTAACTCTCCTAATTTTTTTCAGTAAAGGTTTTCAGATGTAATATTTTTCATTGTATAAATGGTTTCTTTCTAGGGTGAACAAGGAGAAAAAGGAGATCCAGGTCTGGCTGGTCTTAATGGACAAAATGTAAGCCTAACTCTCATTTTTCTAATATTCTGTTTACAGTTGCCACATGCTATCTTACACTGTCTTATGTTATTCAGATTTGACTACCTTTAGCAGAACTAGTCAAAATTAAGAATCAGGCAGTTTTTGCAGGGCTCGGCCGAGGCCTGGAAGAGACCCAGGGGTTTTAGTTTTATTAGAGGTAGTTTTTTGGCATTACAGATTTGACACCCTTGCTTATCCTTAGTAGCCTTTCTTGCTTGCTGCATCTGGCTTGCATTTCTTGCTTGCTGCATCTGGCTTGCATTTCTCTAGTCTTCTGTCTTTTTTCTTCTTACATGTCTTCTTCTGTGGCCTGTGCCCTTACCCAGGGCTCACTTTCAACTCCCTCCAAAACTGCATGTAGTCTGTGGAGGGGTCTGTATTGCAATGACAAAGAAAGGGAAGAAGAGAAAGGAAGCTGTAAATCTTTGTCCCTCACCCCCACCCCACTGTCTCAGGTCCTCAGCCTCGGGTCTGCCATCACCTGTGACATCTTCCGGTCCCAGTCACCTCCTTCCTTTTCCTCAAGACAGTCATCCTCTCAGAACTTTACTCCTGTCATTTGGTTAAAATGTGAAACAATGCCCAAATCTGGGTTTTGCTCTGGAATGCAGTCTTACTTCTAGTTATCAATCTCCCCTGTTGCTATGCTAACTTTGGTACACACATGGTGGGGTATGTGTCCAAATGAGAATTTGTCTTTGTCTCAGTTTCCTTTTCTTACATCAAGATAGCATCAGCATGTCTTAGAAAGGTCCGGAAGGGCCGCGCTACTCACTGTGTGGATAAACGAATGAGGAGACACTCTGAGGCTGTCTTTTGTCCTCCAATGCCCTCGAAGTCCTAAGAAACCATCTCGTGTGCAGCAGATCAGAGGAGAGCATGAGATCAGCCCTTGGGGCTTGTAGAGAAAGTGAGAAGGTTACCGCTCCAGGTAGGAATCTTACCTGGGAGTTAACACTAGTGGTAAACATGGCACAAAGCTCTGCCCACCCCCTCCCACAACAGTTTTACTCATTTGTTTACATCCTGAGAAGCCCCATTCATGTCCTTAATATTACTCCCATAATTGACTCTCACTGTTGCTCCTCTCCACATTGAAGTGATCTTTCTACACCAGAGGGCAGACCCCCACATGATGGCTTATGACCTCTTTCTTAACACCCTTGGACATCAGGACCCTGCCCGCCACAACCGCGGCCCATATAGTTAAACAGAGCGTTGGACTCACTGCTCTGCCCTGTCACAAAGATATCTGATGCAGCAGTAAGAGTTCTGGAGAGAAAAATCAGGGCTCAGTTCTGTCACAGAAGGGTCAGTCACTTCCAGAATCCATAAAGTGGTGGATTTAGAATACATTCTAAAGTCCCCATCACTATGCTGTTCCATGATTTTATACAGAGATTACTAAGATTAAACGCTTGACAAGCATGATGAGATTTGAAGCACCTATTCAGTTTTACTGAGTTTCTGCTATGTGTAAGTCACTGTAATGGAAAACAAACTGGAACACAACTAGAGCCAGGGCATGAAAGTACTGGATGTGAGGATGTTTCTCCTCCCTCTCTGAAGAGAGAGGAGATATGACCCAGGCTCTGTTTATATAAAGATTCGTCTTACAATGTATTCTAAAATAGGTGGAATTGGGGCCTTTGTCTCTGCTTTCTGTTCTTTCTATTGTACCCTTCATGAAAACAAAGACCATGTCTTGGAATTACTAGTACTTAGTACATTTGGGGGGTAAGTAAGAACTATTATTTCCTAAACTGGGATAAAAGAGGTGGAAGGGAGGGTACAGAGAATGATATTGAAGAAATAAAATATGTACAATTTGGCACTCAGTTGGCGTGAAAACTCAAAAATAGCCCAACATGCTGACTGTTTTTAATGAGGATATTAACTTGTGAAAAATGCAAGAGTGGTGAAAGAGATGGACTGTAGTGCTGCAAAAGATAACCAGACTGCAGGTGTGTGTACTCTCTGAGTAGAGGAGCAGAACAAAGACTTTTAGAAGCACATCAAGATAGCATCAGAATTGGAATAGAAAAAGAATTTTTCCAAACATTTAAATAAAACTGAGAGAGTTGAGGGGTTGGAACCTGAATTACATTCACAGTAATTTTGAGATTTGAGTTTTTTTTTTAATGTTGTCTGAAGGTGAGATGATTTGGCTTTCTAGAATTCATTAAGTGACACATGCATACATTTGTATGCCTGACACATTCCCGAGCCCTCTGGTGGCCATTGCATGAATTCCAAATCCAAACAATATTAAATAATATCAACCTGCTGAGAGATCCCTCACCTGAGAAGGACCTTGGAAGAGTCCATCACCACCCCAATCCCAGGGCTCATCTCTTCAGCATCATTATTGTCTAATGTAGCTTATTAAGTACACCATAAAGCATGACAAAGCACATCAACTGTTCTCACTCAGTTACTTCATTAATATGTAGATGATGGTACTTTTTTCTTAATCTTACCAAAGATATTCAAGAGTCATGACAAAGGAGAATTAAGACAAAGTAATAAAAGTTCTCTTTCCTCTCTACTATCGCTAGACGTAAAGAATAAATGATTGTTGTTGGTGGTGGTGTTAATAGTGTGTTAGGGTTTATCAGCTGTTTTCACAAGGAATTGGAAATTCGACCCTTACCCAGCTTTACGGGCTAGTTGGAACAGGGTTGAGAGCATCTCTACTTCCAGAAGCAAGAAATAATGGCTTACAAAATTAAGCAACTTTCTTTTATAAAATACTAAAGCCAGCCTTTAACTCTAAATATTTGACTGAAAAGTCTGATTTTCCCCGTAAATCATGTCACACGTCATTGCCTATTTTTCAATGCTAAAAAAAAAGTGACTCTGCAAAATAAGTAATTCAGCATTTATGACAGTTCACTTGACTTTCAATAAGCACAGGTATGCGTTCTTGGGAAATAAAGGGTATTATAATGGCTATTCCAATCTGAATTAAAGTCAAGCCATATTGGGGATTATAACTTCAGAAATATTTCATTAGAATGCATAGTAAACAACACAATGGGCCAGCTCTCTCCAGCTACTTTCTAAGTCAGTGTAAATTGGAATGATTTAATATGCCTACTCAATGAATTCAAACAGCCTTCTTTTTCTCATAATCTTTACTGCTGCATATTACATATATCCTATCTCTTATTGTCAATGTATCTTATGATAATTTTTTTCTGCGCCAGCTTTCACATAAATGGGCCAGCTTACTTTGGAAAATGTTAGCCTTAATCTAAAGGGAAGTATGCAGTAGTTTAGTCTTTCTCAATGAAATTTTGGCAAGACAATTCTTTGCCATGTAAGACTGTCTTGCAAAAGCAGAATGTTTAGCGTTCTTGGGGTTCACCAACTAAAACCAAGTGCCAGTAGCAGTCCCTTGTCATTGAGACAACAAAAAAATGCTCTGATATTTCTCTAAGAGCATCTTGAAAATGTGTGTGGATGCGTGTGTGTGCTTAAACTTTTGGTTGATCTCCATGATATTACTAGACACAGGCATGCTCATATTTTCATTATAGTGTAAAACAATGCATACCAAACATACACTGAAATTGTCAAAAATTGGAATTACTGGGATTTAACTTTCAAAATATAAGAGCTTGTCTTTCCACACAGTCTAGTGTATAATTAAATAACTTTGGTTGTGGACTAATATAAGACATATTTAACAATCTTAGAATGAACTTGAGAAGGAGCACTGCAAAGTTGTAATTGTTATCTTTGGAGCCAGACTATCTGGGTTCAGATCCCAGCTCAGCCACCAACTAGCTGGCATACTACTTGGTACATTACTTATCCTATCTGTGCCTGTTTGTTTGCACCATGAAATGATAATATTAATAACACTTACTGTAGGATCAAAGAGAGTTTTTCCTTTCCCTTTGAAGGTATCAGTCTGCTGAAATGAATAGATAGATTCACAGGAGAAAAAGCATATGCATTTATTCATATGCATAGGGCAGGAAACATACTTAATATGAGACTCAAAAAAGGGCCCAATGCAGAAACTTAAATAGCACATGATTTAAAGGGAGAGTGAGTTGGGGGAATGCAAGCAATTTTGAGGGGAAGTAAATGATTTTTAGGGGCATTGAATGGGACCAAGACCTGACAATAACTTGTGGTTGAGTTACAGGAAGGGGAACAGAGGTCCTTTTGTTGGCAAATTTTCACTGGCCACCTCTCAGAGCTGCCCTCAAAAGAAGAGACTATAAGTCTGTTTGGGTGTGGGGATGAGTCTTGGACTTTTCTCCAGTGGTTAATCTTCCCTGATTATTTGATGAAATTCCTAGGGAGGGGGTTTGAAGATAAGTTGCATTTTTCTTTTGGAAGATTATTTCTCCAGTCTGATATGAACACTTCCAGGGAGAACTCCTCCCAGTGCTTGGGAGGCAGGAGGAGAGAAACAGGAGAAGGTTAGAAAGTCTTTGTTCTGAAAGCAGCTTCTAAGACCTTTCCATTGCTTATAATTAAAAAATACATGTGAGCCGGGCTCGGTGGCTCAGCCTGTAATCCCGCGCCTTTGGGAGGCTGAGGTGAGTGGATTGCCCTTGCCCGCGGGTTCGAGACCCGCCTGGGCAGTGAGACCTCATCTCTACAATAAATCAAAAACTCAGCTGGGCGTGGTGGCGCATGCCTGTAATTCCAGCTACTCGGAAGGCTGAGGCGGAAGGCTCTCCGGAGCCCAGCAGGTCGAGGCTGTGGTGGCTGGGAGCAGCCACTGCACTCCAGTCTGGGCAACCGAGGGAGACTCCAACTCAAAAAAAAAAAAAAAATACATGTGTGCCAAAGTGCCAGACTTTGGGGTTCTCACTCTCTGTGTCCCACAATTACCTCAGGAGATTTGTGTGAGGATTAAAGGAGTTATCATACATAACACAGTTAGAACATTGTCTAGCATGTAGTAAGAACTGTGGACACATTCACTATGATTAGAAACAAGATTAAATAAA